GGGGGGCCTACAGGTGCTTAGTATTTAAAAAACATAGCCCTAAATAAAAGATGTCATTCACATGAAATAAAAATATTTTTGAAACATAAGTGATCATTTTACCATTTTGTAACTGCTAGGAACAAGAATTTGCTTATGGGGAATGGATTTCAAAACAACAAATAGATATAATAATTAATGAGCATATCAGAATTAAAAATATTTTCCTTATACACGTTATTTAAAATTTAACACCTTAATTCTTACCCTTCTGTACAAAGCTTGCACGCAGTTTAAGTAACATTCTTACCATCCTCACTACCAAAAGGAAGTGTTCAAAGCAAAGATTTGTACACACAATAAGCATTTTCAGATTAATAATCTATCAAAGGGAAGAGTTCCTTCAATCAGTGGAAGAAATATTTTAAAATTTTAAACCAAGGGAAGAAGGGGGAGACAAAGCCTTACATGCTAAATACCAGCTGTAGGTACCTGTATGTAGAATTGATAATTAAGGTATTCCTAACACACAAAACCAGCTCCCAGACAACGCTATAGCTGCTACAGTCCATGGCTTGCTCATCTGTAGTAGTGTCTTTGTTGCCACATTTTATCTTTGTTCCGATAGTTTTGTTTATGCTTTATTTCTCATGTGCAGATACATATTTTGGTTGAAATATATGTCCAAGTCTCAACCTTTCTGCTTTTGAATTTTTTTTTCCTCTTATAGAGAGGTTTGTTGTTTTTTTTTTGTTTGCTCTTTGTCTTAAAAACTTCACCATTCTGCATCCCCAATGGCTTTGGAAAATACATAATCTCTTCCATTAAGATTCATGATTCCATCTTTGAGGTGAAATTTCCATTTGTTTTTACTTCTGTGGATCTAAAAATAGGAAAAAAGTTGAAATATTACTTTGCACCAGAAATAGGTAGTTATGCTCAAATAATTGTAAGGGGAATAAAAAATAACAATTAGGCACCAATAGTGTACTATAAACATCCTGAAAATCAATTCTGCATTTAGGTCCAAAAAACACCTGTCAGTATTTTCAGTTTCCTTTTTTTAAACTAAGGAGAGCTGTCATAGCAACTGTCAAGAAATCAAGCAGCCACAGGGGCATTCCAAAATCCAACACATACAGCATATTTTTAGAGGTAGTTGGAAAGAAGTAGTGGAGAAATATATATCCAGCTGTGCTGCTTTGATTAAATTGTCTTCAATTATGACATCCATGAAACTCCACTTGAAAGCCAAAAATTTCCATTTCAATCAGCATAACACAAGCTTCTCACCTCTGTCTAAGCTCCATTCTGCATGTAAACTAGTTTTGATTCCTTTATACACAGAGAGATGGCAGACGTATTTAACTTTCTGCTTATTATAATACTGGAGTTTGACTCGAGTTCAGCACTTACGTAAGAAAAGGCAAGTGGTTATTTACAAGCTTTTCTGTGTGAAAATCTGTATAGTACAAAACACACAGGCTGATAGAGCTGAGAATGAAATATATCCACTAGTCTTATATTCTGTTCTTTCCCCTTAATGGAGAATGATTTCTGTTCTAATTCTCGCCCTGTAGTGTCAGCAGAGAACAGTAAGATCTTCGGACAAAAAGTCGCTATCAGGGATGATGGAATGAAGCTGAATTTTCTTAAGACTCAAGTTTCAACTTTAACCTATAATCTTCCCAGTTAAAATATGGGCTTTGCATTTAAGAAATTAGGGCTTTGCATAAAAGAAATTTAAGTATTAAATTAGGACATCATTCCAGCTATTTGCAACAACCCCATATATACCAGGACAGAATAATAATATGAAGACATTTATTCCATTCTTTCTCACTCGTGAGTCCACATTATGGGAATCTGTGACATACTGGATCCTAGGTTACACTGGATATTCCTGTTAATGCAGGGTAAAACACAGAATAAAACAATAGTTTTATTCATGTTTTCTTTACAAAACTATTTCATACAGAAATATCTTTTTTCTTCATGCTTGTTTGAAGACAAATACTGGCTGCTTAACAACAAAGGAAGCATGTAACCAGTGCGGTGAAGGAGATGTGAGACGATACAAGGACAAGAAATATTGTAGTAATTGGAGATTCTAGTCTAGTCTAAAGGTAAAGAGTAAATTTTTTTTTGCAAGAGACTACAGAGAACATACTGTAAATACAAAGCAAATAATGCCAACTATCAACAAGGGAAGAGCAAAAGACCAGCACAATCAACCAGAGGACAAGTTATTCAAAGAAAGCAAGGATCCTTCAGAAAGCTGAAATGTTGTCCAAATAAGAGGATCATAATCTGCTAACATTCGTGAAGTTTAAAGATGTACACCAAAAAAAAAAAAAAAACAAAAACAACCACACACATGCACACACACACTCCATCCATCTTTTACAAGGGCATAAAATCAAGGAAGTCACATCACAATTTTCCAAGACCCATCAAGGGCAGGACGTCTCATCATCTACTGTCAGAGTTGTAAATTCCACCAATAAAGTAGCAGCAGAACAGATATGACTACAGTAGTCAAGCAATTATTAGTACTACTATTTGCTCTGTACTTACTTTAAACTAAAAGAAGTTAGTGTAATCGGCAAAAAAAGTGAACAGGGCTGGCTGATATACTCTGCCTGCACTTCTAGGTGACATTCAAAAAAATTCCCTCAGAGGCAGTCGAGCTGCCATGAGGTATGAGGGAAGGTCCTCAGATGAGCAATAACTGATTAAAAATGGGAAAATAAGAGCAAGAACACTGTTTTTACAGTTCAATGAGATCATTCCAAGAGATTTGTGCTGGCTGGAGTCCATGGTTTTAAGAATTCACTAATCATCTGGAAAATGACAAAAGATCACTGATGATAAAAAGAAGAACAGCTACCAAAGAGCTGCAGAACAATCTCACTGTCCTAACTCACTGTGTACTAAAACAGCAGCAACATTCAATGGAGATGAAGACAGTAATGAAAAAAAAAAAAAAAAACAATTCTAACTTACATGTATACAAAAAATGATGGGCCTGAGCTGACAATTCAAACTCAGAAGTGAGATCCTCGTGTTCTAAAAGACTCATGAGAATTGTCAGCTCTGTGTTCAGTGGTGTCAAAAATATATATGAAGTATGATCTAATAATCTAAAGTTTGGACAATTTCTGTACAGATAGCAACCAAGGGGAACTTTCCTCAGAACAACTGAGCTCATCCTCTGTATTTTATATAGACAAACTGAACAGCAATTGATAAGTGGTGAAATCTTTTCAGAGTGCAGTAAACTAGAGGTTCACAACGGAGATTGTTCCCTGTTGAGTTCAAGTCCTTAATCTTTAAGAAGGTGAGGATTTCAGAGTAGTTCCTGTTGCCTAGCTTTAGAAGCTCCCAACAAGCTTTTCTGACTGCCATTCTGAGGTACCTTGCTATCCTCGTGGACTTTAAGGACCCTTGGAATGTAACAATTTTTGATTACAGTTTGGAGGAGACAGATGGCTGGGGTGCAGGTACTGATGCTGCTTGCCTACATCTCAAATTCTTTCTTGAATCTGATGACAATTCCAAGCACAGTCAGGAAGACTGTCTCATCTAAAATAACTAAACTGAAGATTTCTACTTAAAAGTCATTCTTTATAATGTAGGTTGCATTATTCAAGAATATTGCAGGTTTTTTTCTCCCTTAAAAAGGATCCTTATATATTGTGGTCCAATTTACTTAGCCTAGGCAAAGAAAGAAACATCAACATCAAAGAAACTTTCTACATCCTACCTCAGTAGGAATGTGTCTGATAGCCTACAACACAAATTAAAAAAAAAAAAAAAAAAATTAGACATGAATGGATATTTGTGCATTCCAGGCAAATATGCGAACAGAAATTAGTCATTACAGAGGAGAGACAAGACAGTTGAGCAGAATATAAAGGAAAATAAGCAAAGTGTTCCACATTGCTATTTCTGAAAAGAATGTGCAGAAAAATCATTCCCCTCTGACACCCGTTCAATCATCAAGAAGAAATATTTTCAGTTATCAGCAAACAGTTTTGCATCAAGTCTAGATCATATTGACTATTGCTTTCATTTATGGCCACAGCTAACATACCAAAACTCACTTTTCCTGAGCCCAGAGAAATGATCCTTTGTTGAACGCACACAGATATGATAGAGAAATCTGATTGAACTTTTTTTCTGTAAGTCATACTCACTACCACAAGGTAATTCATACTTTATAGTCATAATAGGATATCATTTTAAAGGTACGACTCGATAAGGAGAAGAACAGAGTAAGCAAAATTCTTCTTTTTGCTCTATAGAGATTTTACCTTATCATACTGGCACACGACAACATTTTCCGTATCAAACAGTTCTTGTCCTTCCTCATCACTCACATCATCTTCACTATTAAGGGGCTCCTGAAAGAAATACATGCAAAAAGTTATGCTTTTCAGTAAGATTATAGCTTTGATTACTTACCTGAGGATACAATCTGTCTACGAACTACAGTCCTGAAAAAAGCATTTGAGGTGAAAGTATTCGGCTTTCCACGGGAAGGCAGGTGTGCAGTTTCTTTCTGCCCTCCATGCTGTGGATGTCCTCAGGCTTTTACCAATCTTAGTGTGGAATTTCAGTATCCAGGCCAGATTCTGGGCCAGGATCTAGGCACCACAGCCTTGCATCACCACACTCATTCTTACTTCTTAACTGCAAGTGTTCTCGTGCTTCCAATTCATCTTTACAAAAATTTGTTTTATCATTATACAGATTTTCATATCTAAAGCATCTAAGCAGTGGAAATGCAATGTCAGCCATATCACTCCCTATGTGCCAATAGATATAAGAACAGTCATGACTTACACATGCTCGTCTAACGCATCATAAACTGATATAGAACTTGACACACACGGAAGGTTTTTAGAGGAAGGAAAAAAACAATGTTTTAAGAGAATTTTGCATAGACCCATATAAATTAACTTCTCCAGATGTTCTAGCAAGTATTTTCCTGTCCCTTAAGATTTGCTTTTCCGCTTTCCAACAACAGTCTCTTCATCCCTTCAATTCTTCCTAAATTGAGCAATTTCTTCAAGTCTTTATACTACTCCTTCACTCCTGCACTTCCAGGCTTGGAGTTTTCTAATCAAAACACGTCTACAGAATCACCAATACCACCGCAAGAATATACACAAATATTGCTTCTACACTGCAAGTCTACTTTGTGTTCAACTTCCTCTTCCCAGCATGACCTTCCCACTCCTGTCCACAAGCCTACTACAAACTGAACATAAGAGGATTGTCTTGAAGCTCATACGGAAACTAGATACCTCTTCTAGATCATTCTTGCCCCCTCTCTGAAGCATGTGACAGTGTCAATTAGTCAAAAGAAGATTCTGATGCTCTAAGTCCTATATGCTGTGGTGAGAATGCCACAGCAGAAATTTTTTCCATCTCATGTAAAGAGCAAATATTTCAAAAGCTAGTACAACCATTACTAAATGCAAAACAAATTTTCTGAAGTCTTCTACATAATCCTCACCTTGCCATCTACCTCAAAAATATATAAGCTATACTGGGAAGATCCTAGTGGGAGAAGACGAAGGTGTACCACAGGGTTCCTAATTCCTTCCAAAGTAATACTATATTTAAGTGATTTAACAAGCTCTAATGAACTGCTCTACTTGTTACGTAACTGCTGATGAACGAAGTGGGCAAAAATAACAGGAGATCTCCAGCATGCTGAAAATAAAGTCTCTCTATATAAAAAAAATCTGCAAGAATCCTAGACACTAAGATTAATATTAAAGAACACTTAATATTTAACCATAATCACGTTAGGGGCAACGACTAACATGTTCAACCTGACATCAGTGCTGGTCAACACAACAGAAAAGGAGATGTGGACCCAACTAGTAAGTTACAACAGGAAAATACTGTTAGGCACCACTGTATACATATTACAAAAAAATCGATTTAACTCCTGGAAAAAAAACTACAAGTTTTACCTGCGCACACTAGATAATACAGATGATAAAATGCTATGTATGTTCTCGATACTGGCATTTTAAAGGGAATGTTAAAATAACTGGAAAGGCTGCAGAGAACTGTGGGAGTGATCTGACAGTTCAAAAATGCATATTTGGAAAGTAATTTCAGTTTTTTAGTATCCCAATTGCTTTTTCTGCAGGGCTCTGATACAACACAAAATACTTAGTAAAAAGCCAATGGCTGAAGTCTGAAACCTAACTCATTCAAAGTCTAAATTAGGCAAACACAGTTAAGAATGCAACAAGTTATTAAGAGTATTCACTCCCAATCTTATTTCTTCATTTAGAGAAATCAAGGTCAGCTCTTTTTCCAGAAGGTGTTTTATTGTCACATTTGAATTCTCAGAGTGGTTTTAGGATAACAGAAAGCAACTGAATTACAAGATACGGGTCAGATGAGATTTATTTGTCCTCTCTACTCCTAAGCATTTTGAATCTGTAGCACAGACTCCTAAACCTGTGAACGAAGAACATACTCCCCTTTTTTATCCTTCATAACTTTGCTTTGGTATGCAGCACTCAGTCTCAGATGCAGTTGGCTATTTCTGGTCTCTGTGGTCTTTCTGGTTTCATAATCGTATGGCTGACCTCTCCATAATACCAGAAATACTAAAGATTTTATAAGGGCATTCACAATAATTACAACTTTCACTGCCCCCTCTGCTGCGTTTCAAGGTGCTTTGTCAATGCCTGAAAATTTTCCACCACCTCAGTATGGGAAATAAAGAAACTGAAGTAAAAGGATAAAGTGGTATTCTCAAAATTATGAGAATATAACATTCTTTGAGGCATACAGTTTTCTTTCAAGTATTGTGGAAAAATTAAAAACAACACAGAGACATGTTCCAGTCTTCTGAGATACTGTCAAGTTTACCTCTTCAACTTGGCCATCTTCACCTCCATCTTTTTCTTTGTCTTCCTCTTCATCATCATCATAGTCTTCTTCCTCATCTTCTTCTTCCTCAGACGATGTGTCCCCTGCTCCATCAACTTGGAGCACAAGTGGTGCTTGTGGTTGTGCCTGTTGTTGTTGTGGCTGCTGCTGACCAGCTGCAGGAATCTGTGCTTGGGCAGGTGTAGGGGCAGCCACTGTTGTAGGTATGACTTGTGTTTTATTTCCTGTAAACAGGATCTGCTGAGGCTGAATAATCACTCCTGTCTGCTGGGAAATACCTCCAGGGATAGGAGCCAAAACCTGATGGAATACCATTGTAAGTACAAGGGCTGCTACCATAACTCACTATCATACCAGTTACCCACAGAAAACAATTAAAACATATTAATTTGACTTAGGTTAATTAGAGAAACAAGAGTTACAAACAGTCCATTTATATCAGTCACACAATTTCATCTTCAACAACATAGCTTCTCTCGTTATTTGGCGTTCATTTTCTGCATTTTGCATTGCTAAACCTAAGAAAAACCACTGTGTCATTTTCCATTCTATAACACTAACACTTCCACCACACTGACTTCCAAGCACAGTAATTTTTAAATTCAAATATTATTTTTAAACCTTATTTATAAAACATTTAACTTTGAATTCTCTACATATTATTATTCAGGCCTAAACTGCACAACTGTGACACAATATTAAATTCAGTGCCTATGCAGTCTAGATGCACACTCAGCCTTGTAGCCAAATGAAAATCTTGGCATGACATACTGTATTCACTGCCAAAAAAAAAAACCCAAACCCCCCAGCCCCCCCAAAAACAAAAAAAACAAACACAAAAAAAAAAAAAACAACAGGGTTTCTAGATATTTCTTTCTAAATGCTAAGTGGCAAGAATTACTTTAATTAATAAAGAAATCTTTTAAGAGTGTAGACTAAAATTATACACATACTATATTTCTCATCGGGGACACATAAAAGCAATTTTAAACTGAGACCAGTGAGAATCTGATACAGACTTTCAAGTATCAGTTGAAAATGACAATTCAAAAGTGTTCATTTTAAAAACCTCACTTCTTAACATAATTCTTTTTCTTTCATATACCATTTCTGACTTTGTCAAGTTTGTATTTTCTTTCAATTTGCTCAATTTAAAATGCAAGCCTCTTTAGTAATTTCTATCAGGTTTTCTCCTTCAAATATATCTATTCAAAATTTTTTCTTTACCTGTTGAATAACAGGTGCTTGTACACCACCAGGCTGCATTTGTGGTATGACCTGCTGCTGCAGAACAACCTGCTGCTGCGGCTGAATGATATACTGAGCTCCATTTGCAGTTCTAACTACTTGGAGGATCTGGCCTGGAATAGAATAAATATATAATCAAATGAATTTTAAAAAGCATATTTAAAATAATTTTGGTTTAGAAGCTTGTTTCCTGGAAGACGACCAAAAACAATTAAAGGACAGCATTTCTCTCTCTCTTTCACCAGTTAAAAGATATAATTATTTTAGTTACTTAGAACTTGCTATAGCAACTGTTTCTGAAACAAAGAGACAATAGGATTAATACCTAAATAATTGCAAAGTAAGTAATTCAAGAATAATTTATGCATACAAGACCTCTGAAGCCAAAGATTAACCCTTTAAAGCAGCACAGTTATTTCAAAAATTAACTTCCTACTTAAGAAAATACTTCATGTATTGTAAGGTGAGTTTTACAGACAGAAGACAAAAGGAATATACATCAGAATAGGAAGTACAGGTATTCACATTAAAAATTCTATCCACTACTAATGCTGTAGTATTTCCAAGGTCTCGTCAGATGACACCATCTTTCCCAGGGATTCCTGTCCCTCTGATTACCCATTTTAAGAAATTCCTCTACGCATTACTTCCTTTTCATTATTAACGTGCAGTTGTCTTTCTGAAAACTCTGTCTTTTCGCTTATTAATCATCTCTTTCCTTTTCCCGTAATTCTTGTATTCTGATCCCTCCTCTGTTGTCTTTTATTACCCTACAGCTTTATTACTTTGCCACTTTCCTCACTTCACAAAATATATCTAAGACTTATACACCTTTAGAAACGGCCTTCAACTCTGAAAACAGGCATCCAAGACATATTCCAACAGCAGTTCTTCACATTTCTATTCTGAAAGATGCACACACAGAATAAATGAAGTTACATAATCCTCAACTTCAAACATTTCCCGCAAGGAATTATTTTGTTTCCTGTCTTACGTTCACAGCACAAACGCAAAGGCCTATTTATTGGAACAACAAAGTATACCTGAAAAAAGGAGTACAGTTCTGCAGGCAACCCTAGCCCCTTATGTAAGGAAACATACTACAGATATTTGTAACTGAACAAAAAGGGACAACTGTAACAAATACAAGTAGTATGTGCCATGGGATTTTGCTGTAGAGCATAAATGTACTTTCTTACAATTGGAAAGGATCAGATTCCTAAAAGAGCTGTACATTTCAATTTCATTTCAGCTACAGATCCATTAAACATTCAAATGTGTAAAGCAGGAAGGCTAAATTTGTAGCCCAGAAGGTGATTCTGAGCAGACTAGGCAAATTACTCCGGCAAGAGCATCACCTGCATCTAGAAAATGAACCTTCTCATATCTTTCTTTACTCTCCATGCCAGAGTACATCTGGAATCAAACTTATGAAATCAGCATAATACAAGAGTAATGCACATGAAGCAGTTACGCTGTTTATAAAAGTGGCATTTATGTTATGTTTAAATACTGTTATGCTGTATATTTGGAATATGATATATCTAGCAAAATTGGAATTTCCCCTGTGGATGCTTAGGAGGTACCAGAAACGTCCAGACGCTCCCTCATATGATACACCCTACAGATAGGGTGTTCCTGCTCTTAAATCTCAAATTCAGTACTCGTGCTCAGATCTCGCTTCACAAAGCTTAAAAACATACAAAGCAGAGAGACAGTAACGCCCATCTTTTAGCTTCATGCACTTCTCTAAAAAGTGTGGAAAACTAGCACAGAATCTAACTGCAAGGTTTGAAAAACTAACCAGCCTGGGAGCAATAAGAGACGAGGAGAGTTGTAAAGCAATGATGGCAGTAATTTGCAAAGGGGGATTTCCAGGTTCTGCTTTTAAACCTAATGACACTGCAATGCACAGTGAATGAGCAACGATTAGAAAAAAAATGCATGACCTCCATAAATAGCACGGTCTTGTAGAACCCAGAAAGTCTCTCTCTCTCCCCACCCCAAACACTGTCAGCCTCAAGACTTTTGTTTGACTTCAGTGTTGAGACAGTTACCTGAATTTGTAAGTATCTGCTGAACAGGAGTAACACCAGCAGGGAGAGCCAAGGTAGCTGCAGTGGCTGCAGCACTCTGAAACATAGGAAAAACTGTTTTTAACCGCAAAAGTTATTGTCAGTGTTTCATGTCACAACATACTACCTGAAAATTAAGTATTTATCTTTTTAATTACTATTTACAATGTTTATAAATAAGTTTATGTAGATATTAAAAGATGGTCATTAATTAGCTGTACATTATACTACATATAAAAATTATTTTTGTAACTTCTTCTTTAATAGGAAGATAGAAACCACAATCACTAACTATCACAACTTAACCTGAGATTTCAGATTTTGTGCTCTTCTGCCACCACTGCTGACCTAATAAAGTCCAATACTGAATCGCACATATGGCAATTTTACTTCTACTTTTCAGAGTAGCTTAAGACATGGGCCAATAAACATAATCTCAAGAAACACAAGGTACTTGAGCAATGATCATGTTTAGCTGTCTTGTTTTCATATGGAATACTAGTTAAGTTTGCCCCCCCCCTTTTTTTTAATTCTGCACATGATTTTCATTTCAAATTCTGTGCAACACAGCTCTTCTGAGTGAATGTACACATATAAGGCACTGTCTGTTCAACAGAATGACGAATTTTTGTCTCAAAAATAGTCAATTAGGGTAGAAAACCAAAGATTGTTAATAGGTAATGATTCTAACTTATAAGGAAGCTAAATTCCAGCTCAATGAAGGAGTTCAAAACTCAAAAAATCTGCATTAAGTCCTTAAGTCACAGAGGGAGATGGACATCTCCAGAGGACTATTCATTTCAAGGGTCTCATAACACTCAATTTTTGAAAAGCCTCTCATTCCCCACCAAGGGAAATTATTCTCCTTTACTAATAGGATTTAAACTTTGTCACTGGGTTGAATGCCTATTTCCTGTTGGTAAGAAACACAGTCTCTCCTTAACATCTGACTAATGTAGTAATTACAACTTCCAAAATTAGAGAACACTGAGAAAAGTTAAAATGTGCTTTTCTTCATCCTCAAGTCTCAGGCAAGGGCAGACGCCTAAGTTCTATTGCTCTCTGCCTTCCGAAATATTAGTCTGATCCATTCTTTGATACTTAAAGGTTTATGAGAAAGCACATAATATTTCCAAATTGATTCTCTAACAGAGTATTTATTGAACTGGTAATCTTCTGCAGCATATACTTCAACTGCATTTGACAGCAGCAGAGTTTAAAGCTCAAATTATTCATTTTTGCAATACCTATCAGCAGGATCTAACAACGAGAAGAGACAGGAAGAAAAAAAAAAGTTAACTGCTAGAATAGGCAAGTTACTAATTCCACAGAAATGGCTGTGAAATATAGTAAAAATAAAGGTAGACCTGCTCTCAACCTCCAGGTAAATTATGCTGTTTGGTTAACTAAGTTCAGGTTCTTTTCTACAAGATCAACAGTCCTTCCAGCAGGTAATGAAGAAGCAAACGATAAGCAAATCACTGCACCTTTGACTGATCATGAAACTGTTTAATGTGCTTTTACCATGAAGGTAGTAAGAATTTAATGAGTACTTTTTTAATATACATATTTTAACTTGTTTTAGCTGTTGTTTTCATGGATTTGCAATAAGTCTTCTTTTTTGTTTTTTCCAGCTTAAGCCATGGCACTTAAACCAAGATAATCAAAAAAAAAACCTCTAAAGATAAAACCTGCAAGAAATGGATAAAAGATTAGACTCAGTTTTATGTGCTTTTACAAAATTTATGAATCAATATAACCAAAAAAGAACAATTTGAGTGACCAGATAATCTCTCATTTGCTATAATCTTAAATTTCAGAATATTTAACACGGTTTCCTGCTTCCAGCAAATAAAATATGCTTGTATCAGTTAATATTGTTGCGTGAGTACACAACAAGCTCATCATGCAGATTTACGCTAAGAGTACTCTAATATCTGATAAAACGAAGTTTTGGTCGAAGACATGTAAAGCAGAAGAGATCAAGGTAAGCCCTAGATTTGTTACCAAAATTAAGCCCTTGACAACTGATCCTCAATTGTCAGCGCAGCAACAAAACTTAGTAAGACGGCAGCCAACTTTACCAAAAGTTCCTAATTTACTTTTAAGTATCTAGTGACTTATACCAGATTTATGCTTGCTATTTAATGAAAACAACTTACATAATGACAGAGTATGCAAGTATATACTTCTGCTTTTCTTACCATGCCTGATGCATTCATGTGTGGTATCAGCTTGGAATCTGGCACAATAACCTGCTGCTGAGGTGCTAGAAACAGCCAAAAAAAAGCACTGTATGAAAACTATGCAGTCTGTCCACAACAACATCCAAAACAGAACGATTACAGAAAGTATATCACACAAACAAACTGAGCTTTATAATCAAAACAGCTACGGAGCAGGCTCTGACCTTGTGAAGTTTTACTCTCCAGACAATATGCAACAGCAGTTCTTGGTGGCTAATATGGCTATTTTCGCTTTAGAGATTTATTTCAATGCCTTCAGTTACCTATTCTGACTATCTAAAACAAGATTTCAAATAAATTTCTGAAATGAAAGGTATTACAGTAAAATTTTAATAAACCTGATGATGCATCTGAGTTCTCCAAAAAAGTCAGTCAGCAGTGATTAACTCCTCAGACTTACGCAACGACTGCTGTAAGATGAAGAGTATGTTAATAACGTGTAGCAGTCAGCATTAGTTAGGCCTCTGGTTAGCTCAGCTGTTAACATAAGCCTTTGATCTTCACCAGCTTTTTGCTGAAGTTGAAGTAGACAAAATATGCACAAGCACCGGTCCCAAACAACAGAATAATTTTGGCATGCTAAACGAAACAGACAGCTAAACTATGCAAAAACCTCGTTGGTCGTCAAGAAGTGCAAAGTATCCAGAAGCATATATAACAAGCAGACTGAGCGCCAACACTAGTGACGACAAATTGGAAGAAAATAGTGCAATTTTAAAGGATTAATCATCAACAACGTATTCTCTTCTCAATCCTGTAACTAAGGACACTTACAAATACTGGCGGTAACCGAGAGTTCTGGAAAAGGTTCTAAGTAGTGAACACCCCATGACCCTGTACCAGGATCCAGGACCATCTACCCAACCTCCAGGGAACACAGGGAGCAGAAAGAGTCCAGGAAAACCCCATGACCCTGCACCAGGACCCTGCACAGCACTGTAGGAACCACCATGCTGGCCCACCTCATCTCTCTTCAGGACTGGACCATCTTTCCCACAGAGCAAGGAGGCTGTGGAAGAAACTGCTACGCTAATCCACCCGACGCTCTCCTTCACTGGACCACACGGTCCAGTGGACAGGGAAGTCAGGTAATTCATAAAATTGCATAAATCTGCGATTAAAATGCTTTGGTATCCAAATTCATTTAGCATCCACAGCGTCGTTTGTTCTTAAACCACAACAGAGGGCAATAACAAATCGATTTTAAATGCATTAGTACCGTCAGGATCTTCCAGAGGAAGACACAAATGGAACGACAGAGACTCCATACTAGCAGAGGGAAAATGAGTTAGCAGAGTCAGAGCTATTCAGCTAAGTAGCCGCTAGAGGTCTAGAATAGGGGAGCAGACTGACCCTCCAGACCCCAACTGTAACTTGAGCCGAGGTGCTTAGCTCACACAGACACTTCTGTATTTACGGGTCTTTATCTCAAAGTGAATTTTATCCTAACAGCCAAACTAATTTATGTCCAGCCAAATACAGAGTATTGTAAGAGAAAAAAAAAAAAAAAAAACCCAAACCAAGAAACCCAACAACAGGACATAATAATTTTGCATGGAAGCACTAGTTCTCCTCCTCTGTTTTACATATAAACCTTTTTGAGTGGTGTGGGGCAGGGGAATAACCTCATAGTTATCTTTTGTACCTATCACAACAGAGGTTCTGATCCACGAAATATGACAGAAAGACCAAAGTCCACGACTGACTACAACAGATACAAGTTTGTTTCGTTTTTTTTTTTTTTTTTTTTGCCACAATTATAATAGTACACCAAAAACTCTCTCCTCAACTCAAATACAATATGGGTGGCAGGCTTGTTTACACAGCACAGACCCAGTAAAATCCAGTAGTATTTATCTTATTTTCGAACAGAAATTGTAACTGGTGAAAATAACATGTTCCCCTCAAATTACTGATGGGGAGTACATAGGACAATAATCACAAGAAACAGACCTGTTACGGCTTACTAAAACATACCTTGAACCTTCACACCTACACAATGCACAATCTGCTAAGACCGCAACAAAAACAGCCGCTCTACTTTTCACTTAAAACTTGTTCTAATATGAAAAACATCTCCTGCATACACTCAAAACTGTTGTAAAAATATTATTTACATTCTAGCATCCATTTATGCTAAACAATCCTTTTTATTACATTTTTTAAATAACTTTAATCCTAAAGACATTATTACCTCATGACTACGCTGTCACCTGCAAACACATAGTGCTTTGACACTCTGGAGTTGCTAACACATTTTTGCCACAGCTTGAAAGTAAATGTATCCTGAAAAAACCTAAGTTATGCAGTAGTAGACCAGGAAAAGGATTCAGCTTTCCCAACGTCTTCTGCAGAATGTGACTGACGCAAATATAAGGATATTTTTCCTACAGCACACTATTTTTCAAGATGACTCGCTTAACCCATAAAACAGAAGGAAGCAGAAAAAGTATGACATAAAGACACAAAGTTAACCGTGACATAAACAGCCTCCCCTGGATTACTAATGTGTGAAGGATCTGGTCTAAATTGAGAGCCTCGCGCCACAGATGTTAGAGAACAAGTCTGACCTTGCTGAGATGCTGGAATAAGGACCTGTTGTGGCTGAGACTGCTGCTGCACAGTCTGCTGCGGCTGAGGTTGTGTATGATGGGGGTGGTGATGCTGTTGTTGCTGCTGTTGCTGCTGCTGCTGTTGCACCTGCAGCAAAAGCTGCTGCTCTTCTGAGTGGAAGCCATCTACAGCCTTGGACTGCATCAGCTTGTTCTCCCACAGCTAGTTTGAAAAAGGAAAGAGAAATCTCTGTGTATAATTTTTATTCAGTCGGATGTGCAGTGACATAAACACAGTACAACAAAACTCAATTTGTTTTCACTGCTTATCTTGTTCAGTAAACTTAACTAACAAGCCTCTGGGCGTACATAGACTGAAGATTTAACTCCAAAGAGGTAACGTTTTAAGAAGAGGAACTAAATGTTCCATAAGCACGGTCAGTCCAAGCTTAAACTTCAATTAACATTCTTTCTTTCATTAATGGAAGAATCATTACAACCCCCAAAGAAGCACAAACAGAGATTAACTGGCAACTTTAAATTAGCCTTCAAGTTTCCACTTCTCTGCTTCCATTTTTTTAAGCTTCTTTAATCAGAAAGAAACACTTCATTTTTACAGCTTTCTTCTAAGCCATTTCTTACTAAAACTTGAAAATACAAGATGCTTTTGAAGATTTTTCCCTGATAATACACTTTAATAGAAACTGCCAGTAATACCTACAATAATGTACAAGCCTTTACACAATTTCTACTACAACGGTATCAATATCAGTATCTCCAATCTTTCAATTCCTTGACGTCAGCAGACAGGTCTCCTAACAAAAGCCACAACCACAGAATAACGACTCTTGCAAAAAGATAGTAATGTAAGTATTCCATAATACACCGCAGTCAAAGAGACTACAGGCACCCAGGATCCTTGTTCTCCAATCCTCCTTAGGGATTCCTCACTCTTCAATACTTTTATCTTCTTTCTTGTCTCTTTCCTCATTCAGTTTTTTCCTTAATCCTTTGTAGGACATGTCTATGACACAAACATCAAGGCACTCTTCTTATGGTGCTCACTCTTCCTTTTTTCTCATCAAGCCAGGTCATGACTGGGGTGGGAATTCCGAAACTGAATATTCCTTCCACCCTCCATTTTTTAGTTTTATATACTGAGTGCAGGACTTCCCACTTACTGAAGCACTCCTTGCTCAACAGTTGAACTGAACAGGTATCTACTTTCCCAGTTTCCTTTTGCTTTATTTCCTCCTTTTCACCTGCCCCATTCTCCTCCTCTTTTCAAGGGCTTCTTTTGCTCAGAAAAAGTTTGAAGATGACCACAGGAGACACACATTAGAACTCACATCAACTTCATGCTTCACTTTTGGCTCCTTGGTATCAGTTCAAAGCCACTGAATACTCTAAACAGTAGAGTTTAGAAAATGTGTGACGTGTGCAGTACAAACTATTATGTACCACCCCACAAAAACAACTTCAACAACTGCAAATCAAAAATCATATATGCAAGAAAAGCATCTGACAATAAAACTCTACCTCTTTGGTAGAGCACATCAAATAGAGCAGGCATTTTATTTTTGCAGCAGAAAAAATTTAAAAATCATTTAGTTCTAAAATAAGCATATACCCCCACCCTTTCTTTTTTAAAGATGATGTGATTTAACTTTTCCGGGACTGAAACGATAGCACAGGGAATTTTGATGCCTGTCGTTACTTTTCATCAAGTTTAAAATAAATGCCAAATAAGGGAAGATAAACAAAGCATGCAGAGCTCTGCATATGGAAGTATAATGTGAAAGATATGGGACTAGAGATATGGAAATTAATATACTGCTACACTAACTAAAAATTAGCATTTTTACTGTGTACAACAGTAAGTAGTATTCAATAAGTAATCAATGTAGTGGCATATTAAAAAAAAACTTTTAGGTTGCAACTTACTGTTTTGAGTTCCATAAGAACTTGTTCATCTACTCCTTCATCCAAGAAAACTTCTCTGACATCATTGATGACATCTTCAATTACAGACCTGTACAATTTAGGCTTAAAAAAAAAAAAAAGTTTACTAGTCAGTACTATTTGTTTAAAAAGAGATTTAACATGATAATGTTAAAATTAGATACAGTTCCTTGAAAAATATGTGAAAACTGCATACAGAATAGAGTGCGTGCTTCTGAGCGACTAAAATTTCCAAGAAAGAAAGTATAAATCAGCAATACAAAAAAAAGAAAAAAAATCCCACAGCTGAGGGAGTGAATTCAAGAAAAAGAATACTTGTTAGTCGTTTGTTTGTTTGTGTTTTTCTTCTGGCAATTGTGCTTCCAGCAGAGAGTGGCAACACCTTCACAAAATGGGCTCAGAACCCATGGTTATCACTCAGGGGCAAAATCCTGAGTTGCAACAGTTCCATGATAATCTTAGCTCAATACTTGCCACATCACAAAAAGTAAAGCTAGTGTTCAGCAGTATTAGGAAAAGAATAGAGAACAAAACAGAGAACACTCATTATGCTCCATGTAAAGTACTTATATAATAGTATACAGAGAACTCTAACTCAGTTTGTTGCCCGTATCTTGAACGGTGCATATATTTCTGGTTCCCTAATCTCACAATGCATACAGAACCATACAAGTTCACAGAAGAGCAACAAAAACAATCAAGATATGGGAAGTCATTCTTCATATGAAGCTAAGATGAACTACAGGAATGCGTCAAAGCTGTACAAAAGTTAAGAACGGCTCAAAGAAGATGAAAAGGGAATGGATTGTTCACTATCTTTCGCAACACAGCTATGGGAAAAGAACTGTCAAGTTATGGAGTTGAATTCAAAACAAAGAAAAGAAGATAGCTCTCCATTCAGCATTTTTTTCCCTGCTTGCCAGTGTACAAAGGACGATAAAAGTTCAAAAAGTTCACTACGTAAATACGTTAAAAAAAAAAAAACAAAACAAAACCAAAACTTTAACGCTTATTAATTGAACAGGAACCAAATCTGGCTCAGAAAGTTCCTAAGATTAGAATTATTGAAGACTCAGAACTGGGGCGCAGGAAGGCCCTGTTCTTCCATTGTCATCTGTTTACAGAGATTACTGAGGACAAATTTTTGCTTTCAATCAGTACTTCTGTTCTAACATTATAAATTTTTCAGAGGAAAAACTACACATACCTTTTTATTTCATTAGGCTGACTTCATGCCTAAACTGTCACTGACAAAGTGAATTTTAAAATATAGGTACAATTTTAAAAGAATATAAATACTTAACCTTATCCATTAATGCATAAAGCTTAACTGTATAGGTCCACAGGATAATCTTACCATGCACATTCTACACCTTTCAACCAGATATTACGTCTTGGACCTCTGCATGCGTGTACGAACCTCAAAGGGATTTTGGTTAGGTTTAAATATCCGTGCTAGCTAATTGCAAGGTAGAACTAGGAGTTCTGAATTAGCAGAGAAGGAGCTCCACTGCCTGTGGACCACATATACTTCACTGACAACAACTGTTTCTTAGGCTGGCTGTAGACTTTTTCTAAACTAATCTGGAAGTAGTTGCAACTCTCTTAAGTGTCACCTTCCTCTTCCCTACGCCACCACTTCCAGCCATAGCACCTCACTGAAGCAGTAAACTCCAAATAACACTGTACAGATCAGATATGTTGTACACATGCAAAGCAATCATCCTGCACTTGGTTCTACACTCTAGAAGGGTGTGTGCCTCCAATGTACATACAGAAAACCTGCACTAAAGAACATGCAGCTAGACCTGTATTTCTAGGACCAGCATTGGTCTGGATTTGTTACAGATATGGTAAAGATTATATTGCACATATGCAGTAGCTATGTTATGGAATAAGGTAGCAGCACATGATTTACAAGCCCAGGACAAAGCTAAGAGGTAGAGGTATGCACAAAACAGTTTAATATCTTTGTTTCTAAATGTAAGAAAGCTTGAAGAAACGTACTGATACCACAAAGGAAGAAAAGAAGCTATCCCCAAGTCCGGAAACACGATACTCCGTCTTCTGATGGTTGCTTTGTGCACAATGGCAGCGTTTAAAACCCACAAAAATTATGTGACGGGGTATTCTCAAATGATGTTTCTTACAACACTTTGGCCAGAGTCCACACTTCAATATTCTAGCAGATGGCATGCTACAGCACCTCCTTTTTTTTTTTTTCCTCCATTTTACATTTCCATCAGTTTGCCACTTTTCAGCATTAAAACGTATCGCTGCAAATCAAGTGGCTGAAATGGCAGAATTCATTATTTTGTTACTTGCATCCGCACAAAATTTCTGATCTGAAGTAAGAGGATAAGTCCGCCTTACTTCAAGACTATGCTTACAGCAGCTATGTTCAAAACGCAACTTCTCCAAAAGAAGTAAAACATACCAGATTACTTTCAGAAACTTTTTTCTTCCAAAATAATACTGCATACTTATGCATCTAAACTTTAAGTAGAGCATTATTTGCATTTATATAGACATTTGAAATAGGCCTTCAAAACCAGACTACTCTTAAGCATTAGTGTTTTTTTAGCTCCATGTAGTGAGGAACTTAGAAACGCCAGGCTTCATTATTAGGATTATTCTTCTACTTAGTAATTCATAGCTGATGAAAACAGATATTCCATTTAATAACACTAAGTCATATTATTCCTATAATCAAACAACTTTCACAAAGCTTATACAGTGCAACTAGCCCAGAAATGCTACTTTGCCTATTGTGCACGTTGTTCTTTACTGTATTAGAAAGTGGCTATTTCTTGGAGCCGAGCCCACATTGTACAAATAAACACCCTCAACTTTAGGCACCTGAGTTACTTCACGTAAGTCAATGGAACTACCTGTATATCTGAAACTAAAATCACAACTGCTACAGGATAGAGACTGCATTTTCTCTTTAAATCATCTTTTTGATGAGAGAACATCAAAGACATCAGAGACAGCAAGCTAACTCTACAACCCAGTCCGCTTGGGAACATTTTCTTTTTCCTGTGTCAAAAAGGGAAAGAACAACTTCAGAAAACAGTAACCCACTCTTCAGTGTTCAGCACTAGTTCAGCAAGAGAGCAGAAATGCACGTTAAGAGTTTAGAGCTCACTGTATCACTCAGCACAGCGTCCTTCTGCAGAATTTCCAACATGCAATAGCCCAACAAAGCTGCTGAACCTCCAAAAGACAACAGCACCACCTCCAAAAGACAACAGTAAGACTAATGCAAGGCAGGCAACAAACACACCGAGCAGTAGGCACATCCATGCATCTCTTTGCATCAGCTGCACAGCACACTGGACATAAAGATGGGTGAGAAATGTTGGGCAGTGTTCTAGTCACATACTACCACAGTACGTGATACACTTAGGGTTGTATGATTAGCAGGAAAAGGAGGAAAGGAACAGGGAAGAAAGTATCTGCATATTTATAATGGAACTGTGTCTGTCCCCCACCCACCCGCACCCCATACTTCCCCATTTTACATATACACATTTACTTAATACTCAGAAAAATTATTTTGTCTGGCTGAAGACATTCTCTTGCATACACTCTTATTAAACATCTAGCTGAGATGGATGCATCTCCTTCCATAAATGAGAGCAGCAATGCCTTTTTCAAGAGCCATCGATGGTGAAATTTTTAAAATATCACAGAAAGTTCTCTTTTGCTATTCCAACAGATGCAAATCCAGAAAGGACAATTATACAGAATAGCCTTAAGCCCTGGTCCTTAAAAAGGAGCAGAGAGCACTGTCTTAGATATACACAAAGCGCTAGCTGCAACTATTGCTTATATGATGCTCAAGTTGTTTATATAAGCCACCTAAAACTCTTGAGTTGAATGAGAATAATCATTTGCATACACAGCTCGCTCACTCAAAAACTAAACTTGGGAACACAATTACTGAACAAGTCTAGAGATGGAATTCTCGGCAAGTTAAGCTTTCTGACAGATTTTCCTATTTGGTTAAAAGAGGCACTGAACATTTAACAGAAATCCCTCCCCTCAAAGTGTAAAATGCGAGTAAAACCTCTCTCCAGACAACTAAATCCAAACCTTTTGCACATCTCCTTTTTCCACTTTTTCACAATTTCAATAACCATGGAACAAGCATTTTCAAGAAACAGAGTTATACAAGGATACATAAAGAGAGTCATCTCCAAATTTAAGTAGTTTTCCCACAGTCCTTTAGTCTAGTAATTCACCAGACTAACCAATCACTTCAGCTTTACTGCATCAGATCTAAAGATACAATCGCATGTTTAGATTACTGTGTCACACTTAAAGCAGTTTAAGAGAAATCCCAAGAATAAACTCACCTGGCGTTCTACAGAAATTTAAAAGATTACTGTTAAAATAATCGCCTTTTCATCTGGTTTATATTAAAGTGCCTCCTTCATAAAGTGAACACTACTGTAAACTACAAGCCCTTTTAAGAGCAAGTGCACTTAAATCACTCCTCAATAAACACCGCTCCAAACACTTACTATAGATTAAAGACAACAATTAAAATTCCTGATTTATTAGATATAACCACAAACACATAGAAAAGGTTTGAAATCCAGTAATTCCCCCTCTGGGAACATAAGGAAACGATTGTGTCTCGCTCTGCCTGTGCATCTTGTAAAAGAAAACCCTGAGTACGGTGAAGACCAAGACACACACACTCCACAAAGCAACTAGCAAGCTATTTTAAGAACCACCATATGCCTTTGGGGACTTATGTTTCCTGCATTCCACCAGAGTTTCGAGGGTACTGGAACTGCACCTCTTTGTAGGTCTTATTACAACGCCCAGGATTTCAACAGTTGGGATTCCAATAACCAATATATTATGAAGAGATATTGCTGTCTAATGCAGAAAGCCTGCAGCATGTTTGTCCCTGGTTACTTCTGCAATTATCTCTGAAATACCACCAATCAATTCCTCTTGCCCATGGAGCTCCTTTAAGGATAGCTAGAACATATTGTAAAGGTAACTAGTTTCAGTTACAATTACATCAAACAGGTGCATAAAAAGAAGTAACACTTTATAATATATATTTATAAGCAATTACTGCAGCTGTCAGACTTTTACAAAGGAATTACTTTCATCACCTACAAAATCTTTTACTGCATATAAACATTAACATTTTATATGCCCTGTATTAGGGAGAACACACTTCTAGCAATTGAGATTTGATCAGATGTTGACATGATGCTGTTGGAAAAGTCTAGCCTGCTAAAGTTATCATGCAGCTGCAGTGTTTCAAACTGCTCTTAACCATAGGGTTATCAAAGTGGGCAAGTGCAGTCGTTGTTACTACTGAATGAAATTTGAATTTTACAAAGTTAACCGTGCACTACTGATCGCAATAGGCAGATCTTTGCAAGGTTCTGCTTAGCTGAGAATCAGCCTAAAGCATAGCTAGCTTCATCAGGCTCATTTTAAGTTTTGCCTTTGTTAATTTGAACAGAATGTTCAAACACAGACATTTCCCGAGAGACTTTCACAAAGGTTTTGTTATTCCAGTATAGAGATACAGCCCAGAGAAAGCAAGCCTGAGTAAACTGCTGCAACAAAGATATTTACAAGTACTTTGGAGATTATTCACAGTAATATCTTTTTTCTTCTATTCATTACTAACTTGATTAAAAAAAAGGGGGGGGGGGGAGGGAGGGAGGGAGAGAGAGAGAGAAGTAAAACCTCTAATTTACTGTACAGAAATAACAGAAATAGAACCTTTTCAACTAAAAAAACAAAGCCAGAGGTTTATGAAGAGAAAGATAACTAACAGATTTAGGTCACACACATGATATGCTTTTACTGAGCAACTGCCCTGCATGTAATCACTGACTAATTTTCTAAGACTCTCTGATGCAAAATCTGCTAAAATATCCAAGCAACAGATGCTACCTGGCGACTACATGACTCTACATCATAAGCAGGTCTGTGAAATTTCAGATTTGAAAGAAAAAAATAGTATGTTTTACATTTGCTACTACTGCTATTTTAAGCAGCATATAAAATAATTAAATAATTAATAATTGGAATTAAATGAAAAAATAGTAGAATTCTAAAATCTTTGCTCTTCCCAGTCTGTAATAAAAATATTTGCATGCTCATTAGCTTTTGTCACCAGAAACACTCCCAAGTATTTAAGTAGTACCTGTGGCCCATTACCCACAGACAAAACTTTAATATTAATTAATGATGCTTTTAGCTCCAGAGCTGCTGTCAGCCCGCGCTCGGACCTTGGCAAAGTGCCTAGGACAAGTACCACATCTCTTTTTGACACACTGGATCTGAATCATTTAAATTGCTC